TTTTTTTTTCTCTCGGTCATAAATATCTCTTACAAATAGCCCATTTTTTTCCCCGTTAACCCATCCTTGAAGAGAATAATTTTAGAATTCCATCGATTTCTCGTGAATGACAAATTCATACCGTCTAGGTAGCCGCATCATTAATAATCCTGCTCCACCTCGACGTCAATAATACCCGTTACCGTGTCAAGTCATCAATAATTCCGTTTATGCAATCACGAGCTGCAATCTCTGCAATTTCTTTCTTTCTTTCTTTCCTTCTTTCCTTTTTGTTCATCCCTTCTTTCAAGCCATCGCGTTTCTAGCAACGGTCCCGCGCGCGAGAAAAGACGCGTCGATTTCTCGGGGAGGTGCGATGAAACGGTAGTCCAACTTCCAACTTCGAAACGAGTAGTTTCTTAACCGTTCCCTTGGGACATATTTTGCTCGTTTCTCGACGAGAGTTTCGAGAAAAAAGAAGGCTTCGTTACGATGCAGCCACGAAACCACTTAACCATAACGTATTTCACAGAAGAATGGAGAAAAAAACGTGTCATTTCCTTCAATTCGACGAACGAATATGAAGGGGGGAAAAAAAAGCAAGAGAGCAGATTCTATTAATTCTGAAAATTATCGGCAATCTCGAGAATAATTTTTACAGAAAATCTAATAATCGCAGATCGATAAATTAAACAAGCGATCCCTGTGCAGCGATCCTTTTAATATCCGCCAATCGATTCCTGTCAACCAGAATTATAATTTGCAAATTCCGTTTCGTATATTTTAAGATTTCGTTATTCGGTTAATTAAGAATTTCAATCGTCCCTTTCTCTCTCTCTCTCTCTCTCTCTCTCTTCTTTCTTCCCCCCACCCCTCTGATCACTCATCGCGTTCACGCGCGCGCACCAATTTTACAATATTATCATCGGAACAATTAAAAAATCAGTTGGCGACCAGGTTGGAACGTTTACCTCGTGTTATTATTGCGCGTCGACCGCGGCCGACACGTTATGCTAATTAAATTTCGCTAGGCGAAGCGGGAGCATCGAGATCGGATTTTAATACACAGCCGGGATGGGTTTCTCTGGTTAACGTTCCACGGGGATTTTTAATTAATGGCCTTCCTTTCCGCGGTTCTTTTGATATCGTGATTTAACGCTGGATTCCAGTTTCCACGCTCGTGCTCGTGGAACACGGGACGGAACAAGTGACGGTATTTCATCCAGGATTGCGCAATTTCCAGAGAATTGTCCGTCCTCGTCTCCCCCGTCAACATCCCTTCCTCCGATGACGAACAAAAGCATTCAGCGTGCGCTGGGCATCCATGCGTTCGTTAGAATACGTTTATTATATAAAATATATATATATATATTTAAATTACTAAAATTAATAAAAAAAATGTTTAATTGTACAAAAATATCTGTCCGCGTAGATTATGATTTCTGGTTAATCCGCTTCATGAGAATAAATTTTAAATAGCCGCGGTGTATATGAGTGTACAAAGGTGGAATAATCAATTGGCTTTTAATCGAGGAATTGGAATCGAACGAATTTTCAATAAAAATTCCAAAATATAATTATAGGACGATAAGAATCTATAGAATTTAATTGATTTATTTACGCTTTCTCTCTGAATTCTATACTGCTGATGCATCGAGATTTTTATTTAAAATGCGCGTGAAAATAGAAAATAGATACATATATACATATATACTTATCAATTAATTAATTTAGGTAATATAGGTAAATATCGCGCTAGAAAGAAAAAAATGCGCGTGAAAGTAGACGTTTCCTCATTGACCAATCAGACCCTTGGCATTCCTTCCTTGCGAGATTTTTTTTCAACGCGTATATACCCGAGGCAAATAATTAATTTTTGACAAAGTGTACAGATAAATTGGTACACGATGACGAATTTGCAAGGTGGAAATGAAACGTTAAAGGGGACGCTAACGAGACTCGACGGGCCTTTTAAACGCTCGAAGGTAAACACGATCTTGCATACGCTCCCCGTTCGCTCGGGTGACACGTGGGTCTGAAAGGAATAAAAAAGAAGAAGGAAAAAAGGCCACCGAAGGCGCGGCAAAGATGCGACAAAGAGAATTACAAAAATTACACGGGTTCGAGGGGGCTTCTTTCACTCTTTCGTACCGCGACTCGAGACTTGTCAATTTGCATTAACAAATTGCCACTTGGCGACATCGTTATACAGGCCCGTCCTACGTTGGACGTGTCCTGCCGCTGTCCCTCTTCTTTCTGAATTTCTCTTTCTCTTTCTCTCTCTCTCTCTCTCTCTCTCTCTCTCTTTCTCTCCTCGTCTCGGACGGTGATTCGCGCAGAGCGGAGCGGCGCGCGTGCGCGTGAGCGCAGACGTTAAAAAGGAAAACGGTTTACTCGATCGGTTGAACGTTGGAAACAGGAACGGAGAGGGGGACGTGAAATAAACGCGAGTCGTACTGTTTACACGGTGGTGAAATTTACAGGGCACAGGTGGCTGGGATCACGCTGCGCGCACTTGTGCGATCGCGTGTCGAATCGCGTATCGCGTTCACCTTGAGAATGAGACTCAGGAATAGATAAGGGTGGACGGTTAAGGAAACCCATCGCGTGCGACAAAGGAGCGCGAGCGCCCTCCACCGCTCCTCGGTGGAAGCTCACGGTGGAAAATAAAGAAGCGAATTGAGTAATGAGACGAGATACCGGACCTTTGAATATCGGGTGTCTTTCTTTTCCACGCTCTTTGCCACGACGATTTAACGACTTTTGAACGGCTCGTGCTCGATAAATAGTAATGGTTCGTAATATCGCGGACATGCAGCAATGGCGCCTCCTTTGATGTCCGAAACGAAGGTTCGTTTGTTCGAATATCGAATTAATTTATCCAACGCGATGATATAATGGTTAAACGCGGAGTAAAACGATTAAAGCGATTTTTGATGTCGAGTATATATTATTCGAGTATTATATACACGTACGTGTTCGATTACAATATCTTTTACGATTTATTAAAAAATAATGGAACGGCAAGTAAAATACTGATACTCTCGTTTGAGCTACTGAAAAAACAGTAGTTTTTGTTCGATCGTTCTTCTTCTTCTTCTTCTTCTTCTTCTTTCTTTTGGTTTATTCTTCTCGTTCACGCGGAGGCCCCTTGTTCGCGCCTTACTTATTAATTTACGACTGCGCCGTGTTTCTTCCATCGATTATACACGGGTCACTAATAGAATCGGTATATCGGTATACACGTAGACGATTACTCGTGACGATTAGGTCCCAGTTTCGAGCTTGCATCTTGAATTTCACACGTGCGTTTTCTGCGTTTTCGTTTCAATCATTTTTGTGACAATATACACGGATACACGAATCTGTACGAGATTGAGAGGCGCTAGAAGAGAGAAATATCACGAAAATGCGCGCTTTGTCAACATACAATTTGAGGAAAATTGCACGTTTGTATACCGGCCACACAAGATCCCCTTCCTTCATTATCGATCTTCAATCAAATGGCTCATACCGGCGGGAATATTATTACAATTATTTTTAAGCCCGGTATGCGGTTAATAATTACCTACAATGTAACACGCGTATCAAACGTAATCGTAAACCACGACCGGAAGGGTGGATTGAAGCTACAATTATTATTTAGCGACATGTCGCTGCGATGTTATCGGGAACTAGGCGGCGATGATGCTGCCTCGTAGCCGCAAAACGTTTGATTATACTTGATCTCGTCCCTTAGAGTATTTCAATTCCCATAATCGATACCCTTCGGAGGAAGGATTGGTGGCTCGATGGTGGCCGATTTTGTTGGCAATTTGTTGGGAAAAATGCACACGAGCTATACTTTGTACTTCTCTGCGCGCCGAGCAAAAATAATCGGGAATGATTACGCTCTAAAAAGAGGCAAGAGTAAATCGATGCACGACACATCCGGTGGATAAATCGACGCTCGGTCGGTTAACAGATGGTGGGAAATCGGTGGTGGTGGAAAAAAAGGCCAAGGCCATTTCTTCTCGAACCAAACAAACTTGATCGCGCGGGGAAAAAATAGAAACTTTAACCTCGTTTCACCAATTAACGAAGTCGCGAAGATTCTTTCCGAGTAATCGTCCATCCGATTTTTTCCAGCGATATTTCGATGGAAAATAAAAACTTTAACCTCGTTTTACCAATTACAAAGATTTTTCGAACGATTCTTTCCAAGTAATTATAGATCGATTTTTTTCCACCGATATTTTAATAGAAAATAGAAATCTCGCTTTATCGTTACGTTGCAAAGATTCTTCGAACGATTCTTTCTAGTCGATTTTTTTCGACATAGAAAATAGAAACTTTAATTTCGTTTAATCCTTACGTTGCGAAGATTCTTCGAACTCGACCGATATTTCGATAGAAAGTAGAAATTTTAATTTCGTTTTATCGTTACGTTGCGAAGATTCTTCGAACTCGATCGATATTTCGATAGAAAATAGAAATTTTAATTTCGTTTAATCGTTACGTTGCGAAGATTCTTCGAACTCGATCGATATTTCGATAGAAAATAGAAACTTTAATTTCGTTTTATCATTACGTTGACCAATTTTTTTCTAATTAATCGATTTTTCCCAGCGATATTTCGATAGAAAATAGAAACTTTAATCTCTCTTTATCGCTACGTTGCAAAGATTCTTCGAACGATTCTTTCTAATTGATTTTTTTCGACATAGAAAATAGAAACTTTAATTTCGTTTAATCCTTACGTTGCGAAGATTCTTCGAACTCGATCGATATTTCGATAGAAAGTAGAAATTTTAATTTCGTTTTATCGTTACGCTGCAAAGATTCTTCGAACTCGATCGATATTTCGATAGAAAATAGAAATTTTAATTTCGTTTAATCGTTACGCTGCGAAGATTCTTCGAACTCGAGCAATATCTCGATAGAAAATACTAACTTTAGCCTCGTTTTACCAATGTTACCAAAGATTCCGTTCGAACGATATCTTTCTAACCGATCGATTTTCTTTTTTCTTTTCTTTCCAGCGATATTTCAACGAACATCCGTGTCCAGGGGTCAACTGAGGATCCAAGGTGTCGCGACTTGCCTGTACCTGTGCATGGATTCCTGTGGTCTTCTTTACGGCTCGGTAAGTCAAGCTTCGAGCGTAGGAAAAAGTTGCTCTTCCTTTCGATAAAATCGCTCCGTAACACGCCTCCGACGTACACGTTCGAGAGGCATTCCACGAGAAAGAAAACCCAAGTGGCCGAGTGCCACGCGACGCCGACCGCCTCCTCTTCCCTCCACCTCCTCTTCCTATCGCGTGATACGCTATCGCGCCCATCTAAATTACAGAAATCCAGCGGGGAAGAAAGGATCGAGGCCTCGCGCACACGCACACGCACACACACATACCGATACCTCATCTCTACCCAACCCATGGATCACCGAGAATTCCATGGGTAAATGATTTCGTTTCAACGATCACGAATCCAGTTACGATTCCAGGAATTTCTTTTTTTTCTCTTTTTTTTTTCCTTCCCTCTCTTTTAATTCCCGAAATTGGAAGATCGGAAAGTTTGGAATTTTTACGTTCCAATTTTTTATCCCATCAGTGTAGCAGACACGAAATGAGTCAAATTTGCGCAAGTAGGCGAGGAAGTAGTTCGGGTCGGCGAGGGAGAAACGAGGCGAATAGTGGGAAATGGGCCGTTTTCGAGGCCTTAATTAAACCCGATGACGTTTTGAACGAAATAGAGGAGCGAGTACGCGAGCTGCTGAGAAACAGGTTTAGCCCTTAACTACTATCGTTCCCTGTTTCCTTCCTTTTTTTACACCGCTGTAACTAGTACCGAACAAAAGGAACTTCGTTCCATCGCGGGGTTGATACACTCTCGACTCTCCGCGCACCGTTTCGCGACGCGAATGGCCGATTAATCTCGTCAACGTTTCGCAACGCAGCCGGCAAATCGGATATTCGATTCTTTCGAAACGCGGCTTTCGAAAAATCAGCACCAGGTGGGGGGCCAGGTGATCGATGCTTCGATCGCAATTACGATTTCCACTCTCGGCGGAGCTATTTCCCTCGTCTTTATTATCTGAAAATTACATTCGAAATATCCACGCGCTATTTATTTATTTATTTATTTATCTATCTATCTATCTATTTATTTACGTCGCGCGTCGATTACTCGTTTCGAGGTGTCAATTTGAAATTTGAGATTTACAGCTTTTAACTATTGGCTTTTAATTTTTTTGCGCCAAGAAGAAGAGGAGGAGGAGGAGGAGGAGGATGAGGAGGAGTCGTGACACGAGTTTACGATCTTACGAAGATAACTGAAATACAGAATCACTAGAATTTGTGTTGGTCAAAGGGACGAGATCTAGCTCGTCTCCTCGATCAAACAGGCTGACAGAACAGGTCTCTCTCACGAAGAAAAAGAGAGAGAGAGAGAGAGAGATTAAAATTTCCCGCTGCACACTCGAGCGAACAATAATTTCGATTTAACGTCACGAATTCCAGAGTAATAATTCTAGAGCGTTGGAGAAATGGGACTCGAGGGGCAGATCGATAAACCACTCGGGGAACGTCAGCGATGCGAAATCAAAATGGACGCGAGATCGCGATAATGCGTAAAACGCGTAAGCGACGCGATCCAGCTTGCTCTTCTTCGCTCTCTCTCCCCCTCCTTGACAACCGTCAAACAACGGAACACACACACACACACACATCTCGCACAGAGAGAGAGAGAGAGAAGGAAAGAAAGAAGAATAAGAAGAAGAAGAATTGAAATACACGAGCGGATATCTAACGAATAACGAAATGGACATGCTCTAATCGAGTTAGAATCGAAACGAACGCGTGGCGAATGATGGCAGCTCGAGCCAGCCTCCCGTCTCGTTAAGGAACGTTTCATTAAAATCATGGGCCGAGGGCCATCGTGAATGGAAAATATCGAATAAAGCCGTATCGTGGATCTGCTTACCACTTCTCGGAATACACCGACTCTCTACGCCGAGTTTTCATTTCCGTTTTAATAGAGACCGCGTATCTGGCGCGCCACCGATCATTGACGGGCCGATCATAGCGCTCGTGGATTATTACCTCTCCTCCCCCTCCCTCCTCGCTATTGATACGCGTCTCGAATAGGACAGCTCCATTACTCATGTAACGATTTTCCATTCGATCACTTGGGATTCTTCTTGTTTGTTCTTTTTTTCTTTTTTCTTCTTCTTAACTAGATCAACTGCAGATAGGGCGGATATATCTGTGTTATAACCGGACGCAATTATTCCGATGACGTTTGATGTCGTGGGATGAAAACTCAAACGTTGTTCGCCGTTTGAATTATCTTCCGTTCGACAACCGGTGCGGTGATAAATCGGGTGTAAAGTAAGAGAGGGGAGGGGATATATAATCTGGAAAAAGATGGAAAGATTGGCAACGATGCTTGGTGTCTTTCCATTTCTTGACTCGAATTATCCCAATATTGTTGGATATTTCTAATTTTATTTCTGAGGCGTTCGATCATTTCGATCATCCTTCGAGCTCGAAGCTCGAATAAAACTTTCGATTAATGACGATAATGCTTGGTGTCTTTCCATTTCTTGACCCGAATTATCCCAATATTGTTGGATATTTTTAATTTTAATCCGATCTCGAGGCGTTCGATTATTTCGATCATCGTTCGAGTTCGAAGCTCGAATAAAACTTTCGATTAATGGCAACGATGCTTGGTGTCTTTCCATTTCTTGACCCGATCAAATTTTCCTAATATTGTTGGATATTTCTAATTTTAATCCGATCTCGATTCCGCGTTCGATCATTTCGATCATCGTTCGAGTTCGAAGCTCGAATAAAACTTTCGATTAATGGCGATAATGCTTGGTGTCTTTCCATTTCTTGACCCGAATTATCCCAATATTGTTGGATATTTCTAATTTTATTTCTGAAGCGTTCGATTATTTTGATCATCGTTCGAGTTCGAAGTTCGAATAAAATTTTCGATTAATGGCAACGATGCTTAGTGTCTTTCCATTTCTTGACCCGAATTATCCCAATATTGTTGGATATTTTTAATTTTAATCCGATCTCGAGGCGTTCGATTATTTCGATCATCGTTCGAGTTCGAAGCTCGAATAAAACTTTCGATTAATGGCAACGATGCTTGGTGTCTTTCCATTTCTTGACCCGATCAAATTTTCCTAATATTGTTGGATATTTCTAATTTTAATCCGATCTCGATTCCGCGTTCGATCATTTCGATCATCGTTCGAGTTCGAAGCTCGAATAAAACTTTCGATTAATGGCGATAATGCTTGGTGTCTTTCCATTTCTTGACCCGAATTATCCCAATATTGTTGGATATTTCTAATTTTATTTCTGAAGCGTTCGATCATTTCGATCATCCTTGGAGCTCGAATAAAACTTTCGTCGCGATTAATTTAACTCGATCTCGATCGGGGGAATGAAGAAATCAGAGGTGAGCCGCGATAAATTCAATGTCCAATTTACATTATTACTCTCTCTCTCTCTCTCTCTCTGTTCACAAGGAATCGAATAACGTGCCCCCGAGATTAGAGTATCCGATAACTGCATAATCTACATAACACGAGGCAGCTAGCTAAGCAAACGTTTCGTTGGATCCTGCCTGTAATAGATCAAGCCTGTTCCCTCCGCTTCGTTTGTCGCGTAATTTCTTCTGACCGTTGAACGGATACGGATCGAGTACCTTCCATTTTCTATTATACGTCGTGCGCCAACTACCATTCCCTTGCCCTTACCGGGGGAACCGTTTATCGGCAAAATTATTAACTCTTTGCACTCGACTTGCTCGTCGCATGGTTCGAAGCGATAACTCGAGAGGTGATTCGAGAGCCCATCACTTTGGATTAGAACCAATAATTATTTATTTACGATTGGTTTTCTTTTCTTTTTTTTTTTTTTTTTTTTTTTTTTTGGAATTTTCGCTTCGCTCAGGAATGAAACTTTGCCAACCACTTTAAGTATGATCTTGTCAAGAACGATTATAAGAGATAGGGAGATTTTCTTATCTCGAATTGATCTTCGGCATCTTAGTCTCCGAGTTTGACAGTAGTGATAAGAGGCGATTAGGAATATTATTTTCGAAGTTTTTGCGAGAGATTTGATTCTTCGTTATTGAACGATGAAATTATTACTTCTATTTCGTAAAGGAATCGATAGGGGATAGAGAGAAGGAGAGGAAGAGCGATTGAAGCAAGTGAATAAAGGAGAAAAATAAGAATAACGTGAGTGAACGTAACAGGAATTAAGAAGGATTATAAAGGTTATATTCGCTCTCGATGGAATAAGAAAGGCGAAAGACATTTTCATTTGTCCTGATAAAAATGGAGGATGCGTTTTGCCGAGCCTTTTTATAAAACGTCACAACAACTATTATAACCTTTAACATCCGACAAATTTTCTTTCTTTATACGCAAATATGCACAAGATATCATTTCGAGTCAGCCACGAGAAATTCATTCGAACGCGAAAAATCGTCTCGAGTTGTATCGACCAAGGAAGAAAAGGCTTCGAGTGCAAATTAGAAGATGACTAGGAATCGAGGAGGAGAACCTACCGAACAATCCGTATAATTCTTGGAAAAATGTAATAATGTAAAATGTAAAATGTAAAATGTAAAATGTAATAAGACGCGATAGAAAGCAACAAAAAAAAAACCAAATTGCTTTTAATTATTCATGCGAGAAATATAACCTTTAACATTCGACAAATTTTCCTTCTTTATACGCAAAAATGCACAAGATATCATTTCGAACCAACAACGAGAAATTCATTCGAAAACTTTTGGAAAATCGTCTCGAGTTGTTTCCAGTGCAAATTAAAGGACGACTAAGAATCGAGGAGGAGAACCTACCGAACGATCCGTATGATTCTTGGAAAAGTGTATAAGACGCGATAGAAAGCAACAAGAAAAAAAAACGAAATTATTTTTAATTATTCGCGCGAGAAATATAACCTTTAACATTCGACAAATTTTCCTTCTTTAAAAAATTCTTTAAAAAATGCACAAAATATCATTTCGAGTCAGCCACGAAAAATTAGAAAAAAAAAACGAAATTGCTTTTAATTATTCTCGCGAGAAATTCAACCTGTCCTTTTTTTTT